GCAGAGAGAGATGTGGCCCCCTGGTGGGGGGAGAGAGAGAGAGAGATGAGGGGCCCCCGCCTGAGAGAGATAGAGGTGAGGGGCCCCCACCTGAGAGAGAGATGGGGGCCCCGGTGGGGGGAGAGAGAGAGAGAGATGAGGGGCCCCCGCCTGAGAGAGATAGAGGTGAGGGGCCCCCATCTGAGAAAGAGAGATGGGGGCCCCGGTGGGGGGAGAGAGATCCATCAGGCTAACAGATGGGGGGGGGGGGGGGGGGGGGGGGGGGGGGGGTATGGCGGTGACGAGGAGGAAGCTATGAACAGCTATGCTGCCTGCTGCCTAGGAGGGGCGTTAAAGTCATCCTTAATATTAACTCTTCTTAATAGTTTCCCATGGCTAACTGTTGCACACACCCCATAAACTGCAAGCTTCCTGGGGGGCGCGGGGGGGATATCAGACCTAAAATCTGCTCTGCATTTCTCCCCAGTGACGCCCTGGGGACACAGTCCTGTTAGCGGTGGTTTATAACACCTGCCACACACATGCACTCTGCAACCGGGGGGGGGGTTGGGGGGGTGAGTATCACGTCAGGGCGGTGGTGGGTGCGACACATGACCACTCTGAGGAAACCCACCTGCCACTCTCCAAACAGCGAGGCAGTGGGTCTGTTTAGGCAAGCGGGGCCCCTGGGGGCCATGAGCTTTGGCAGGAGCCAGCAGAATTTTATACAAAATAGGACCTGTTCTGGGGAATTTCGCTGTGGCACCGATCCAAGGCTGCGGTTTCTACGATCCGCGTGACGCCATTTGTGTCCCGCGTGTGGATAGGCTGAAGCTGAACGCTGTGTTAAGTACAAACGCTTCCCACAGGGGAGACAGACCCCCCACCCATCATACTTCAGGTGTCAGAGCATCAGCAGAAGTACCAAAATGATCTACCTGACTCAGGTAAAAAAAAAAAATACAAATATTTGCACATAAGCCCTAAAATACATTAAACACAGGAATGTCAGAAACAAACAGCCCTGAGGTGCAGACATCAAACCCCAGGCCAAAGCCCTAAGGTGCACACATCAAAGCCCTGAGGTGCAGACATCAAACCCCGGGCCAAAGCCCTGATGCGCAGACATCAAACCCCAGGCCAAAGCCCTGATGCGCAGACATCATCAAACCCCGGACCAAAGCCCTGATGCGCAGACATCAAACCCCGGGCCAAAGCCCTGCTGCGCAGACATCAAACCCCGGGCCAAAGCCCTGATGCACAGACATGCACATGTCTACAAATGTACCTCAGAGACAATCGGGACAATTTTGCACAATTGAAACCATGTTTATTGTTTAAAATCAGTAATCCTGGGGAAAAAAACAACAATGGCAACAACAATAATGTGTAGCTCAGCAGCCCAAGTCTTTCAATCACGGGCCTCTGCAGAATAGTCACATCTGTGGGCCCTGGACCCCCAGCTAATGGGGGACTAGGCAGCAGGGGGGGGAGCAGGCTGTGGGGGAGGCAGCTAACGGAGGCGGTACGCAATGTCTAATTAGAGGTTAACCTCAGTGTGATTTAGTGTCGTGCGCACTTTCATAAGGCTTCCCCAAACATCCCCTTTACAACTGTGGGCTCGTGGGCGAGGCGGCTGGGGTGATTGGAACTGATGAGTAACAAGGGGCTGAGATAATGAGTGACCCAGCATTGCAGCTCTTCTCAGTCACCCTGCACAGCCCCCAGTCACGCCAGGAAGAATGTAATCGTTATTAAAAACTGTTACATTTACACATTTCACCGCCAATCATGATGCTCAACATTGTCCATAAGATATTAAATTCGTGCCAATATGATAGTTAACATGCAAGTCCTACAAAATGTTACATTGAATTTTTATGCACTTCTATTTCTTTCAATTTGGTTTAATTTTAGCCCCGACTGGACGTCACTGGAAATCCCTGCATAGGGAAATCCCCGTCATGGAACGCCTGGGCTGACTCCTCTACACGGACAGCACACCGCCTCTGAGCTTCAGCATGAAGAGCTGCTTTTTGGGCACTGATCATAAATCATCACTAGCAGCTGATGACTTATAACAGTAGTTCACTAGGGGTGATACGCAGCAAGAAAGTCACACATCAGCCGGTCGTGTTCAACTCTGGTCCAAAGCAGCGCTGTAATGAAAATGCTGTCTTATTCAGCAGAGGACATTCAAAAATGTCAGTGCACCTTTCAGGCAGCAGCCGGCGTCCTTGTGGTCCCCCTGCACCAAATCAGACACTGTACTCCACTGTATTCCATGTAATCCATTATCCTCTGCAATGTGGCTGTTCTTGATCATTTGCTGCACTCTGAGGCTTTTCTCAAGTGCAGTATATTTATCTCGTGCAGTAATTAATGTGCAATATTCCTCCTATACTTTTACACTGAGTACTGTTATCTCTATATGTTACTTTTTTGCAAGCCTGAAGGCAAACCCCCCCCCCCCCCGCTGTGGCTGCACTTTCCCCTCTCTCCCCTGAACACGCTAACCCAGGTAGCCCCTTGAAGCCAGCAAATGAGACCTTTTCAGGACAAGGCTCCAGCTGAAATGCAGCCATAATGGGTCAGTGAGGTGCAGTGGTGTGTCTGTGCTGCTGAAAGGTGAGACTGCAAGGACGCCATATCGATGACATCAGCACCATCTCAGGCAGGCTGCACGCGGACACTTACCACTTTACGATTTTAATGACAGATCATACAGCCAAACAGCACAAAGAAGAGGCCTTTTAGTTCAACAAATGAGGGCCTATCTATTTTAATGAATACACAGAAGAAATTGTGTACATCACTGTCATTTATCACTCCGACAATTTGTTTTTCCTATGAAAAGATACTAAGGAGATTGATGTAGGAAGTGAGTCCAATAGAAACAAATTGATTGCAGAGCCTTCAATCGATGGTGAGGATGTTAGGATATCGTCACCCGAGGCCCGCGTGGGGGTGTCCTGCGTGCGTCCGCGCTCTAACACTGCGGAGGCGTCACGCGGCGTTACTGGGCCCGCGTGGGGGTGTCCTGCGTGCGTCTGCGCTCTATTGCTCAAAACACAGATATTTTTAAAAAAACACAAGCCTTTAATATATCACGGTGCTTGCTGTGCATTTGGCAGGCCATTAGTCGTGCGTGTGCAGGGAGCCAGTTTCCTGCACAAAACCTATAAATCATGTGTATTTGTGCTTGTCAGTCCAACATTTGACAGGTTTGTAAGAGGGAGGGGCTGCCGCAGGGCATCATGGGACTGCCACTGGAGAACCGTCAAGGCGGCAGCCTGCCCTTCACAGGGCGTAGGGCGTGGCAGGTGGCAGAACAGTCGCATTGGGGGCCATCATGGTGACAACAGAGTCTTATTAGCCATATAACCGGCTCTAATAGCGGCATCTCCACGAAAACCATGTTTAAACCATTTTGTTTTCATTGCTGGAATTTCCCCATCTGAAAACAATACTACATTATTTCCATAGTGAGATAACCATGAGAACTTTTGGCAAACACTGTTTGAGGTTGTGTCTGCTTCTAATGGTCTGTGCCAGCATGACTCAAGGAAAATGCACGTAAAGTTGTTAGAATTTTAAGGACATTCCGCCCTCTAGTGGCAGCAATAGTAGTACATCTCGGTAAATGCGTATAAATTTGGGTTGCAATGGAAACAGAAATAAAGTTTTGTTCGGTTTCCTCATGTTTGTGTCTGTGTGAGCGCACTGCATGTCCTCATGTTTGTGTCTGTGTGAGCGCACTGCATGTCCTCATGTTTGTGTCTGTGTG